TAACTCCCTAGCAAATACACAGACACACACACACACACACACACACACACACACACACACTAGCATCACTCAGGTAAATTATAGTCAAATTTCTGAAAACTAGAGATAAATATAAAAATTTTAAAACATTAAAGCAAGCAAATTGCATCTAGAGCAACAACTATAATATCAATACTATAATGATTTATATATTGTATATAATATTTACTGCAGGCTTTTCATCCAAAACAATGCTAGTCAAAAGACAGTGGAATATTGTTTTTGTGTGTTAAAAGAGGGAAAAAAACTGTTTCAACATAGAATTCTATGAAGAGTAAAATTGTATTTCAAGAATAAAGACCAAATGAAGACATTTTCAAGCAAATACAGCTGAGTTAATTTATTATAAGTTAATCCTTATTATAAGAACTATTAAAATAATTCTATGAAGTGTACAATTATATTTCAAAAATAAAGGTCAAATGAATACATTTTCAACCAAAAACAGTTAAGTTAATTTATACTCACCTCATCTTTACTAAAAGAAATATTAAAAGAAGTATTTCAAGTTGGAAGAAAATAACACCAGTTGGAAACTCAAATCTATGAGAATACATAAAGAAACAATAAAATGATAAAAGGTCGATGAAATACATTTATTTGTACATTTTTATTTTCTTTAAAAAGAAAAATAAATCACAATGTGCTGTTGAGTTTATAATATATAAAAATAAAATCTAAAACAACTTAAGTAAGAATGAGAAGTAGAAAATGGAATATGCTGTTTTAAGTTTTTTACATTTATGTAAGGCTGTATAATTTTAATATATGGTTGACTGTAATATGCTTTTTAAAAAAGACTATTTTGATATCTAACCAAATCACACTCTCAAAATTTTAAGAGTATATATTTGAAAAATAATGAAAAAGATAAATATAAAATACAAAAGAAAAAGAAATAATCCAAGGGGAGGCAGTAAAAGACACCAGAAAAAGGTTTGAACAAAGAAAACTAATATCAATACAGTGATTCAAACTCAACCATCTAAATATAACATTAAATGTAAATACACTAAACATTCCAATTAAAAAACAAAATTTGTCAGCCTGTATTACAAAAGTAATATCTAATTTAATGCTATTTATAGGCACATATTTTAAATATAAGCAATTAGATTAAAAGTAAAAGAATGAGAAGATTGAACAGGAAACCCATATCTCCTTGGAAAAATATTTTGACAAAATTCAACACCATTTATGATTTTTAAAAGAATTTACAAAACTAGAAATAAGATGAAAATTTTTGGGCAACCCCCTCAGGTCCCTCCTGCTCTGGGAACTTTTCTGTCCTCTCAATAAATCATGCTTTCTAGAAAAAAAGAGAGAGAGAGAGAGAAAGAAAAAGAAAAATTTTCAACCTTAAAAGTGATATATGAAAAACCTGTAGTTAATAGCACACTAAATTATGCAAGAATGGATGTTTCCCTTCTAAGTTTGAAAACAAACCCAGGATGTTTATAATCCCAACATTTATCATTAATGTCTTACTGGAAGTTTTAACCAATGTACTATGTGAAGAGAAAGAGATTTTAAAAGAGTAAAAATTTTAAAGAAATAAATAAAATCAGCTATTTTCACATGACATGATTATGTAAAGCTCCTAGCATTTGACATCAATGTACAAAATGTAATTATATTTCAGTAGAAAATGAAAAATAAATCATTTTATAAAATTTTATTTACTATATCAAAACCTCTAAACTAAAAATGTGCAAAAATGTACTAAGATAATTAAAGCAAACCTAAATAAAGGGAAGGATATAGCTCATTCATTGACTGGAATATTCTTGTTGTTAAAATGATAATTCTCTCTAAACTTCTTTGTAGATAAAATGTAATCTCAGTGAAAATCTCAGCAAATTATTGTAGAAATTTAAAATCTGATTTCAATATTTAAATGACAGTGCAGAGAACCTAGAATAGTCAAAGCAATTAAAAAGAAGAACAAAGTCTAATTTCACAACTTGCATGCCCTTATGTACTCTAAACTTACAGCAATTAAGGTAGTGAGGAATAGTGTAAGTATAGGCAAATAGATTAGTGAAACAGAGTGCAGTGTAGAATAAAGAGCCAGGAACCCCATTTGTATGTTCAATGTGTTTTTGACAAATCTGCCAAAGCAATAAATGAAAAAAAAAAATGTTTTCAACAAATGGATAATCATTATGGAAAAGAAATTATGCCTACCATCGTGCATACAAAAATTAAGTTAGGATGGATCATTATTCTAGATGTAAAAATCTAAAATTTAGAGTCTTCAGAAAAAAACAGGAGAGTGAATGTTGGGATTTGCAAAGTATTCTTAGATTTAAAAAGAGAAAGCAATAATTTTAAAAAATTATAAATTAAACATAATGCAAATTCAAGAGACTCATTATGGAAATTAATAGGTAAACCACATTCTGTGACAAATATGTGCAAAACACATTTATATGACAAAATTTTGTGTATGGTATGCAGAATATATAAAGAAATCTTGCAGATGAATTAAAACAATCAACCAAAAAAGTGGAGAAAAGACTTGAGCAGACATTTAAAAAAAAATTAAGGAAATAGCATATGAAAAATTGCCAAGACATCTGTAAATGTAGTTAGAACCACAATGAGTTACCACTATATTCTAATTAGACTAAATAATATTATAAAAATAGACAAAATCGACTGGGTGCAGTAGCTCACATACGTAATCCCAGCATTTTGAGAGGCCAAAGTGGGTGAACTGCTTGAGCCCAGGAGTTTGAAACCAACCTGGGCAACATAACAAGACCCCATCTCCACAAAAGATTTTTGAAAATTAGCTACTTAAGCCCGGCTCGGTGGCTCAGCCTGTAATCCCTTGCCCTGGGAGGCTGAGGTGGGAGGATTGCCTGAGCCCGCGGGTTCGAGACCCGCCTGGGCATCTTGGCGAGACCTCATCTCTATAATAAATAAAAAAATCAGCCAGGCGTGGTAGCGCATGCCTGTAATTCCGGCTACTTGGAAGGCTGAGGCGGAAGGATCGCCGGAGCCCAGCAGGTCGAGGCTGCGGTGCCCAGGAGTGGCCAATTCACTCCAGTCTGGGTGTCAGAGTGAGACTCCAACTCAAAAAAAAAAAAAAAGAAAGAAAGAAAATTAGCTACTTAAAAGACTGATGGCCACAGCCCAGGAGTTCAAGGCTGCCGTGCACCACTATGATTGTACCACTGCTCTGCTGCCTGAGTGACAGAGTGAGATCTAGATTCAAAAAAACAGAAAAGATAAAATCAATAGTTGACAAGAATGTAGTACAAAGGGAATTATCATACTTTACAGCTAATAATGTAAAATTTACAACTACTCCAGAAACCAACCAATTTCACAATTCCTTCTAAAGGTGAACACCTGACATATAACCCAGTCATTCCTCTTCTAGGTATTTCTTAGGAAAATTTTTTAAAAATGCAAAAAAACTTGCATGGAAATGTTCATAGCACTTTTATTCATAATGTCCCCCAAAATGAAACAACCCAAATGTCCATCAAATAGGAGAATGAATAAGCACATTGGGGTATATTTATACAAAGGAATAATATGCATAAATTAAGAGAATATACTACTAACACATTCAACAGTATGGATGGTTGCGAAAATATTATGCCAAGTGAAAGAAGCCATAAATAAGAGGGTATTTACTTTATGATTCCATTTATATGATATTCTAGAAAAGGTAAAACTAATCTAGAGTGAAAAATATCATACCAGTGCTTGCCTCTGATGGCATGAAAAGCTTTTGTATCTTCATAGGAGTGTGGTAGTTACCTTGTATATGCATTTGTCAAAATGTATTGAACTGAATCTGTGCATTTAATTTTATGTAAATTATGATTAAATGAGAGAAAAAGAAAAAAGCATTGTTCAGTATTGGAGAGGCAGGGAATTTAATCAGAACAAAATTTATTTTAGTAATTTTACTATGGATCCCTTCTTCAGGACCTTTCAGTGGAAAAGGTGGTAACAAAAAAATTTTAAAAAAATAAATAAAAGGAACTTAAACGTATCTCAAAAGTCATCTATAATTCAATATTTTCATTTTACTGATTACTATGACTTTAAAAGAAATTGTAGGGAACCATTGACCTTTAAAAATCTTTTAATATTTCTCATTAGCCTTCTTGGGAGTTTTAGCTGATTTAAACTGAGCAAGTGTCAGTTTGGAAGAGATAATGTCCAAAAGTCACTTTCTTGCAAAAGAAGTTGTCCTCTGGTTGAACTGTGGTTCTGAATGCTTCTGCTAGAGTGTGAGCAAAATGTGATAAACTGTCACCAAGTCAATGCCCTAGTGCTAGATTTAGATCTTCTGTTTCAGACCCCTCTCCAGTGGGAAATGCTTGAGCATCTAAGAAACTAGCATCACTGACATTTTTACTCCAAACTCTCAGTGAACTCTGAACATTTAAAGACATAATCCAGGGATGAATTGAAATCTTTGATTTTGAAGCTAACAGCAAAGGGTTGTCTGACCTCTGATGAAACTTGCTTTGAGATGAAGAAATATAATCACTAAAATATGCCATTTCTTCACAGGCCCACTTGGATCTCAGTTAATTTGTAAAGAAAGTAAACGAGTAAATGATTGATTACCTCTGTTCCAAATAGAACATGTTGTAGGACTCCAATAAACTCTGCTTACCTTAGAGGAGACAGATTTTGCTGACCAAAAGAACATAGAAAATTAAGTGACAAAGATAAGAGAAAGAAAAAATAAATGTGAATTACCCAAACTAAAGACTTATTATTTTTTTCTATAATTAAATAAGTTAGTGGCAAATAAGCTGATAAAATAACCTAACAAACTGTCCTAAGAAGATAAGAGACTTGTTTTTCAAAATAAACTAAAATAAAATTCTAAGAAATACAGTAAGGTTTTATACTACATATTTACAGGCTACATTTGTTATTGCAGAAAACTCCAGTAAATTACGGCTTCCAATCTTGTTTTGCAGACTCTCTGAGGAAAAGAGAAGATACTTATGGTTTTATCGCTTCTACTGCAATCATGAAAACTGCTCCCTTCCTTTGGTCCTTGGTAGTGCCCCTGGATGGGATGAAAGGACTGTTTCAGAAATGCATACAATTTTGAGAAGATGGACATTTTCTCACCCTTTGGAGGCACTTGGGCTTTTGACTTCCAGGTAAGAATTGCATAAAAACATGATATAAGAAGAACTTGTTTGAAGAGAAAAAAATATCGGACCATATAATTAATTCAACACCTATTCTATTTGTTCTCAATTTCAATACCTATAGATATTAATTTTAGATAAATGTCAGCTATGAATATAAATTTTAAACAAATCTAAGCTATAATCATGTCTTCTGTACTAAACTTGAAGTATAATTAATGGCCATAGTTTCACAAAGAGTATCGTTCTTACAGAAATTTTAAAAAATAGAGAAAAATAAATATCTATAGTTTTTTCCTCTGGAAAAAAGTCATTAAAAATTGGGATCATTTATTTTACTATCGAAGTATGCAAAGTTTACAAATTTCCCTGCTTTTCTCAAGACGTTTCCTCAGTTTAAAATGCATTTGGCAGCCGGGCTCGGTGGCTCAGTCTGTAATCCCGCACTTTGGGAGGCCGAGGTGAGTGAATTGCCTGAGCCCGCAGGTTGGAGACCTGCCTGGGCAACTTGGCGAGACCTCATCTCTACAATAAATCAAAAAAATTAGCCAGGCGTTGTAGCACGCACTTGTAATTCCAGCTACTTGGAAGGCTGAGGAGGAAGGATCACTGGAGCCCAGCAGTTGGAGGCTGCGGTGGCTGGGAACGTGCCACTTCACTCCAGCCTGGGCGACAGAGTGAGACTCCAACTCAAAAAAAAAAAGAAAGAAAGAAAAATGCGTTTGGCATCTGAAGAAGGGCTAATAATGTCTTCTTTTTAAGGAGAATCATGTAGTAATAAATGTGGTAGCTGGCTCTGGTTCAGCAAAAGCATATCTTCCTTGGCTTTCCTTTTATATTCAAAGCCAGGAAAAGATACTTCAAGTCCATTTTGATAGCATCAGCTCACTGATGCCATGAAGAAAGCCTACAATCTCTAGAGCCAGAACTCTATCCTCTATTGTCAAACCTGGCTGAATTCTGAATCTGTTCTCAAGGACCTGAAGGAAAGAGAAAGGTAGGAAAGGGAGTGACACAAAGAACTTTCAAACTGACTTATTTAGGTTTATTTACAACTTAGTGTCCTTCATAAAACTTTTAGGGTGAGTAAGAGGGAGGGATGGTTTTCCTCCTATAATTTGTGAGCATTACTTGTTTCTTAATCATTCATGTTCAAAATTTGCACATTACCTTTTGTATCCCACACATTAGTGATTTTATACTTTAACGCTTCCTCTGTGAACTAATCTGTGCTCAGAAGCCTACTGCTTCCTTTATATATGTATATATGTAAATGAACATATATGTATTACTATTATTAGAAATTGGAATTTTTCTCCTTTCAAGGCTTTTTCTGTGGCACCTTCCCTTACCTTGCCATGTAAAATTGATCACTACTGCCTAGTACAGTGTTTTATTACTTTATTAATCACATTGTATTGTGTTTAAATGTAAAATGTATGTATTTTCACTCATGTTAGACTGAGAGCTACTCAAAGCAAAACAGATCATCTTAGTATTTCTGTTTCCCAAGGTTTTAATAATACCTGGGACATAGCAAGTATATAATAGTGAGTCAGCCACTTTCTAAAATATATTTTGATTGTTTTATGTAATTTTAGCATTCAGTGTATGTTATTTGAAGAAATTATTGATTTTTATTTCCTATATTACTTTGTACAGTTGAATTAATTAATAAAATAATGATATGGTAAGATAATCAAGTAACGATTGGTTGCATTGGGATCATTTACTATTTTTCATAGAGTTTAATGATTTTTTTGCAAAAAGCAATGTCTTATTTTCACTCCAATTCTAATCTCTTTTTCTGATTTAGATACATGGTAGCCCAAATCTACAAAACTATTATGCTCAATTATCATTATTTTTTGCAGAAATAAGACTAAAACTCTCAGCACAATTATTATTTTGTCATTCCTGAATTGATTAGCTAATAGAGAATTGGTTCAAAATGTGACAGTAACAACTGACAGAATTAGAGAAAATACTGACAAGACATATTTCTGATAAGAGAGTTGTACCCAAAATATATAAAGACTCCAGAACTCCACAATAGAAATATAAATAACTCAATTTTAAATGTACAAATTATCTGAATATGAATGTCTGGTGGGAATGTAAAATGGTGCAACCACTTTGTAAAACAGTGTAGTAATTTCTTAAGTGTTAGACATAGAGTAACCATATGATCCAATAATTTCACTCATTGGTGCACACCCAAGGTAAATTGTAAAATATGCATTCTCCATCTTCCTAACCAGAGAAGTAAAAGAACTTTACAACAAAAACTACAAAGCATTGCTCAAAGAAATCCAGGTAGATACAAACAAATGGAAAAATAGTTCATGCTCCTGGATAGGAAGAATCAACAATGTTAAGATGTCCATCCTATCAAAGGCAATCTACAGATTCAACACAATACCCATTAGATGTTCTGTATCATTCTTCTCAGACCTGGAAATGACAAAATTCAGAAATTCAGAATTCATTCAAAATTCAAAATACAGAAATTCATATGGAAACATAAAAGACCATGAATAGCCAAAACAATCCTCAGCAAAAGAAACAAAGCAGGAGGTATCACACTTCCTGACTTTAAACTTTACTATAAGACTACAATAACCAAAACAGTCAGCATTGGTACAATACCAGGTACAATGGAACAGAATTGAGATTCAGGAAGTGAAACATCAATTTCTCAACCAACTCATCTTTGACAAAGCCTCCACCATCAACCACTGAGGAAAGGAGAACCTATTCATTAAATGGTGCTGGGAAAACTGGCTGACCACATAAAGAAGATTGAGACAGGATACCTAACTATCACCATACACAAAAATCAACTCTAAATGGATCAAAAACCTAAATCTAAATATTCAAACTATGAGAATCTTAGAAAATGTAGGAGATACCCTTACAGAAATCAGAGTAGGCAACTCAGTTCCTGATCAAAACTCCAGATGCCCATGCCATAAGATAGACAAGTGGGACCTCATTAAATTGAAAAGTTTCTGCAAAGCAAAAGAAACCATCAAGAGAACAAGGAGACATCCCACAGAACGGGAAAAAATATTTACCAACTGTATATCTGACAAAGACCTAACATCCAGGATCTACAAGGAACCCAAATGTGTCAAAAGGAAAAAAAAACAAACAGCCCCATTAAAAAGTGGGCAAAAGATCCAAATAGACACTTCTCAAAAGAAGATATACGGGCAGCCAACAGACACATGAAAAAGTGCTCAGCCTCACTCATCATCAGAGAAATACAAATCAAAACCACATTGAGATACCACCTAACCCCAGTAAGAATGACGATTATTAATAAAACAAACAATAACAGATGCTGGTGAGGATGCAGAGAAAAGGGAACGCTTCTACACTGCCTGTGGAAATGCAAACTAATTCAAACTCTGTGGAAAATAGTGTGGCGATTACTAAAAGAACTAGAAAGTGACCTTCCATATGACCCAGCAATCCCTCTCCTGGAAATATACTCAAAGGAATTCAAATCATTCTACAAAAAAAAAGATGCCTGCACATGCATGCTTATTGTAGCACTATTCACAATAGCAAAGACATGGAACTAACCATACTGCCCACTGAAACTGAGCTGGATTAAAAAAAAATGTAGTATATATACTGAATGAACTATTACACAGCCATGAAGAAGGACAAACATATGGTCTTCATAGCAACTTAGATGGATTAGATTCTATAATACTCAGTGATCTGTCACAGAAACAAAGAACTGAGTACCACATGTTCTCACTCATAAGCAGACCCTGAACATCTACCATAATACTACAAGAAAGAGATTGGCAGTAGTGCGATACTGCCAGGGGATTGGGACGACACAACATCAATAAGGGTACCTGATCTCAAACCAGGCAAAATGAGGACCAAAGGGAGGCCCAAACTTTACCTGCACAATGACCACTGGTACTCCTAATCCTGAATTGTACCCCAGATCTTTAAAATAAAATTTAAAAAGAAGCCTCCTCAAAGACTCATGCACAAGTGTTCAAGCATCATTCACAACAGCCAGAAAGTAGAAACAACCCAAATGTCCAACAACTAATAAGTAGACATATAAAATGTGTTCTATCTATACAATGCAATACCTTTTAGTAATTAAAAAGAAGTAAATGCCAATATGTGCTCCAACATGGATGAACCTTGAAAACATTATGCTAAGTGAAATAAGCCAGTTTCAAAAGACCACATAGTATATGATGCCATTTATGTGAAATGGACAGAACAGGCAAATCTATGGAGACAACAAAGTCATTTAGCGATAGACGAGGGCTAGGGCAGGTTGGGGGGAAATGGAGAATGACTGCTAATGAGTATAAGGTATTCTTTTTGGTTATTGTTGTACAAGTTTTGGAATATGTATGCTAAAAAACCATTGAAGTGTGCACTTCAAACCGAGTGGATTGTATGGTAGTTTAATTATATCTCAATAAAACTGTTTACAATTATTAAGAAAATAATTGTGACGGTAACATCTATGAATCTCCATAATATCTCTAAAGAATCATTCTCTAACAGAGAAACTTTCTAAAATTTAAAGTGCATGGAATATTTCTTTTTAAAAAATCTTTAAACAATGAAGTTGTAATACTGCTTCATTTACTCACTTATAAAACATGAGGATTAGCTAGATGAACTTCAATATTGTCTGAACCCTGACAACTAAACATAACTCTGCTTATGTTGAATCTTCTCTACCTAAACCAATCTTGAAAATCTATTTGACTCACTTCATTTTTTTTTTTTTTTTTTTTTT